CTTTACTTCCCAACTTATTAATAGAACATTCTCCCTCTTGTTTCCATTCAGCCAATCAACTAGTCGAGCCTGACTCTTCCTTCATGATTCTACTCAAATTGTTGTTGCTAACAAAAGAATTAGCAGAACCAAATGGCCGTGCTTAGTCTTCTTTCTGCTTCATGTATCTGTAGTAGTTTTCTGTGTAATTTGTCTTTGAGGTGACTCTAACACATGGTGACCCTATGTCTAACAGAATGAAATATTACCTTGTTCTTTGCCATCTTCATGATTGTTGGTAATGGGACGATGGTCTGTTGTAATCCTAGAGCTTTTTTTTGGCTAATTTTTGGAGGTGTGGCACTGCGGATTAATGCACTGGACTGCAAGGTTGGTTTTAGCCTCAAGATTGGTGGTTCAAGCCCACCAGTCTCTCCTCGGAAACCTTATACAGGATCGCATGAATTGGAACCAACTCAGTGGCCTTAACAGCAGCAACAAGTTTTTGGAGGTGGTCACTTCTTCTTAGTCTTTATTAGTCTGGGAGCTCCACTGAGACCGATCCACGATGGATTATCTTGTTGGTATTTGAAATATTGGGGACACAGCTTCCAGCAGCACAGCAACACAAATGCCACCACAGTAGGACAAACTGACAGGTACTCTCTAATTCTGGAAACACCTTTCTTACCTAACACCCAAGGCACCATCTCTTTCATTTCTCCTATTGATATCTCTGGCTATCCTTTCTCACTCTCCCTTATGAGTCTTTACTCTTTGCCCACCGTAAAATGCTACTGTTTTCTAGTGCCTTATGGGTTTTGGTTATGTACACTCTTCATGTATGCATGCACCAGTTTCCATGTGTCAACCGATATATGTTTTATTGACTCCAAATCTTCATTCATTGGACACTAGACTGGCATCTCCAAATATGGACTGGACTCTTGCTCTCTGCCATTGCATCTGCAGAGGTGCTCACTAGTCTGGTCTGGAACAGCAGTCTGCGGGATGGTTTCTTCCACCACTGTCTCCTTACCCAAATGTTGCTAGCCTTGTGAGAGCGGTCACCCACGTGGGACACTCTCTCTCCTTTTGTCTTCTATCACCCTCTCTTTCAAAACTGAATCTAAATTAATAATCTAGAGTTTGCTTATTATTTAAAGCCAAATGGCTTGACAACTTAAGGTAAACCAAATTATTCCCAATATTAACTTTGTTTTAAGCTCATAAAGTACCAGTCATTAAAGGCATGTTTGCCCTTATGTAATGCAACTATAATGCAAACACCATTTTATTGTTTTAGAAGTTAGGGAAATATAAAAAAGACTTTTAAAAACAAATAATAAAAAAGACATTATAGGTCTGTCTTCTTGATTAGTCTCTATGCCTCTGCTATACCTTTTACATACTTCTCTTGTAGCACTTGTCACAGTTTAATGAATCGTTTGCTTGGATGGGTGAGATGACATGATAAGAATACCCACCTACCTCATAGAGTTGCTGAGAAGATGAAATGAGCTCTGTAGTAACAGAATGGTGCCTTGCACAGAATCAGTGGTATTTGTGTATTTGCTGCAATTGTTGTTATTACTATTATTGGTTATTCCTACTTGCCTTTAGACTCCTTTAGTGCACAAAGAGGAGGTTTTTAATATTTTATGTGTAGCATCAAGTTCTAGAGTGCTGTAAGTTAAACACTGGACTGCTAACCACACGGTCGGCTGTTCAACTCACCAGCTGCTCCTCAGAAACCCTATATAGAGTCACTGTGAGTCAAAACTGATACGATGGCACTTAACAATGACAACACGTTCTAGTCCTCATCACATAAGAAAGGCTCAGCAATTGTTTGAACGCATGTTGAAGTGTCCTCCAAAATTGTTTATGCCTGTTGATTTACAAAACACATTTGTAGACCAAGGGAATCAGTTCTGTAATTGTCGGTCCCAAGGATGATCCGATTTTACTGTCAGTCCATTACAGTGGTTAAACTGCTAAGTATTTGCCACTATTTGGACTAAAAATGTATTTGTGACTATTACAACAGAGGTCTGCTTTACTGGCACAGATGCATTTTTCAGAAAAGTTGTAAAAATCCATGCTTTTAAATCAAATTATATTTTAAATGTGCTAAGAAAATTAGACACTCAAAAGAAATCTGGTGCATCTTTTGGACACTGAAGAATCTTATAGAAAAGTAAGTAAAAGCATCTATTCATCAGTTTCAGAAAATCAGATATTATTTTGAAATCTTCTAAAAGTATTTCTGCACAATGTTATTGTTAAATGCTGTTCAGTCAGTGCCGACTCATAGCAACCCTGTGTAGGGTTTCCAAGGAACAACTGGTGAGTTTGAATTACCACCCTTGTGGTTCAAATCGACTCCTATGAACCCAAAACGAAACCCAAGCTATTGTGTTGATTTCCACCATTAGCAGCTCCTAGGATTTTCCGAGGCTGTCAACCTTTATGGAAGCAGATTTCCACATCTTTCATCTGTGGACTTGCTGGTCAATTCCAACCTACCCTGAGCCACCAATATTTCTCTACGTAATAATAGATGTGGAGTAATTGTTTTTTAATTGTAAGAGTGACTCTTGCCTCACCCCTGTTTAGTTTTTTATAGAATGTGGTGGGGCTGGAAAATACAAGTTTCTGTCTAATCTGGATTTCTTAGACGTATGTGTCACTAATTAGAAAAACCAATTTGTGTGATTTTAAATATTTTATTATTGACATTTGTATAAATTCACCATGAAAGAAGGCACAGGTATTCATTTGGGAGATTTACCAAAGTAAGCTTATATTAGGTCAATTAGAGTTCTGATGTGGTGCTGTAGGATAAGCATTCAATTGCTAGGTCAATTTGAACTGCAAGGTTGGCGATTCAAACTCACTAGCTGTTCATCGGAAAATCCTATACAGGGTTTCTGTGAGTCATAACTGACTTGGTGGCACTTAACAATAACAACAACAGAAGCCATACATTTTTTATTATTTTTTTCTCCAGATTTAGAGCTAAGACCTAAAGCCCTTTGTTTATTCCATCAACTTCATTCAAGCTGCTGAATATAACCCAGTGGTATCTAATGTTTTCTTTTTCAGTAGACAGATTTACAAGAACATATTCTTTTGTTCTGTGAGTGAATGGATTGTAGTGAGTCCATTGTCTGTCTCAATATGATTGATTATAAAAGGTTACTATTTAACTTAATGGGTGTTTGTAATTCAAACAGACATAGTTTAATATAGACTTATCGACTCAATGGCACTTAACAACAGCAACAAGACCTACTTATTGACCAAGAATATACAAATAGTGAACATAGAGACTTCATTTCTTTTACTAATCATAAAGAATTGGTTTTGACCTTTTGATCAGTAGATTATACTTTTTTCTTGAGTTTTGAAAGAAAAGAACTCAGTAAAATTTTACGTTTAATAGTCACATGTGAGAATAATTGTGGACCATTAATTTGAGACTGCTCTGTTTAAAAAAGAAAATGTTTTATTGCCATAAAGAATTGTGCATAAAATTTTGTATTCAAATTATTATAACAGCTTTACTTGAAGCTTAACTTGACATATATGCTTATAATATTGTACTCATAATTCTTTAAGAATTTCTCTAGGGCATTATGGAGACAATTTTATGTTTATGTCAACTAGATTAATGTAGTACAAACATTGATAAGATGTTATGTAAAGTTTCAGTTAAACCTTTGTATAACTGAAAAATCTGTATTTTAAAATTTATACAGTCAAATTTTTGTTTTCATGGAAATGAGAATTAGGTAATATAAGTTAAGTAGATATTTTAGATTTTCCTTATAGCATTGCTCAAATTTACTTCACGAATATTTATCAAGCTGTTACAATAGAGCACGGACACTGGATTTAACTCAGAAGACTACCATTGAGATCCTTGCTGTGGCGTAGAGGAGAGAGTATTTTATATGGGCAGCTGTAGCCTAGTGAAGAAGGCTGTGTCCATCCCCTGCTTATGGATGTATCTATGAAGTGCTGTGAGAGCCCTGAGGAGTTGGAGACTTGAAAGGTTGCAGCTGTGCCTGCCAGGAAGGGCTAATGTAGGCCTAAAAGAGGAGATGATATATGCATTTTGTGATGCATTACACAAGTGGCTCCCAATTACATGAAAAGTTTTGTAATAACTTTCACCATGCCCCAATATGTCATATTCAGAAGGGAAGAAAATGAAGATGGAAGGATTCTTGGCACCTCCCTTGGTCTGTACTGAGGATCACTTAGCATGTCTAGATCAGAGTCTAACAAGTGGGGATCAAAGGCAACCCAGAGATGTGTTGTGTTTGGCTTTATAACATTAACAAACTTAAAATAATCAATAGCATTTCAAAAATGAGAGAAAATCCAATGGGAAGGTTGGGTCAGCTCTCCAGTAGCGTTACCAATTAGGTAGTCCCGAGGAGCAGCTGCTCTTACTTAATTTACATGCCTGTCCCTTGCAGATTTGCAAACCCCTTCAGTAGGTTTTGGTGACACTAGTTCTGTTCTAGGTGAGGGTTTAGTGAGCCTCTGTTATTCCCCCTTGTTTCCTATCTTTCCTGTCTAAAAATCAGTAATGACCATAGACATCAACCTATAAAAAAGGACACTGTTCATCAAGACTCTAGTAGTTACAGAATTTTCCGTACTTAAAGTTGATCATGTTTCTGTAACGTACTTATATATTCTGTTTTCTCTGTTGTAGGGACACACACACAAAAAGTTTGTTTTTATTTCATTGCTGAGTTGCCATGAGACAAAATTACCTTAAGCAAAGTTATCTCCACTTAAATAAAGTCGCTAAGCTTTTGAAGTGATTTGAGTTAATAAATAGCATTTTGGGGATCACATGCATTTTTATTTTATTTTACTTTGTCTTAATGTATGTCCAGTTAGTCTAGTATTAGTAGAGTGAAGAGTGGTTTTATTTGTAACTTTCCTAAATTGTATAAAAATTATAAATTTTTCTTTCTTTTCTCACAAAATTCTACCAGCGAGTTGAAAATGGTGACTTCAACTGGATTGTTCCAGGAAAATTTTTAGCATTTAGTGGACCACATCCAAAAAGCAAAATTGAAAATGGTAGGTTTTTCTTTATTTTACCATCCAAAAATTTATTTTGGTTCATCTTCTTTAATATTCTTAATTTCTTAGGTAATCCTTTACTTTGGTGTAGTATTCCTCAAAAATATTGATTTATAATTTTAGAAATTGAGTAATAGTAGTTAGTGTGTTAAGTATTATAGTCCAGGAGGTGGAGCGTAATCACTATTATGGAATTAGAACATTTTCAGGTTGTCATAATTAGGATGATCTCTTTGTTGGACCTAATTATCAGCGAAGAATCTGAGAACGAAATTAACCAAACCAATCAATAGATTGCTGTATTCTATTAGTGCTTTCCAGATTTATTTGACCACAGAGCGCTACATATCAAGGTATTCTTTGGGGAACACCATGTTGAATAATGATGATGATGACAATAGATATCATTCATTGAATTTTCTCTACCTGCTAGTTACTAACCACAGCATGGTTTCATTTAATGAGCACACAACTCCTGTGAGGTGTTTGTTGTTGTTAACTGTCACGGAGTTGGTTCCAGCTCATACCCTCCCTGTATAGGGTTCCCATGGAGCAGCTGGTAGGTTTGAACTACCACCATTTCTGTTAGCAGTCTAGTGCTTATTGTACAGTGCCACACCAGGACTTCTGTTGAAGTGACTACTATCTTTATTTTATACTGGATGAAATTGAGGCTTGTAAGAAGTTAGAGAATTTACCTAACTTCTTATGTATTAGATAACATAATACTGGATAGAATTGGTACTCCAACCCAGACCTATGCTCCTAAACATTGCTTTTTAAAAAAATATTCCATCATAACAGCTAGGAACAATTTTTTAGCTAGTAGTAATTGTAATGTGTCACCATGGCATACACATATTCAGGAAAAAAGTAATAAACAAAAGGTAAACTTCTTGAATGAATTCTAGTCATTTATGTGAGTTTTCCCATTAATATTTATTTATAACTCCTTAAAAAAAATTGCTACCATTCCCCAAATCAATTGCTACTGATTTGATTCAAGTTGATTTTCATAGAATCTTAATAGATTTTATGAATCTATTGGGGTTCCAAAGCAGTACTCTTTATGGAAGCAGACGACCCGATATTTCTAACTTGTGGTTGGTGGATTCAAACTGTTGATCTTCTGGTTAGCATACAAGTGCTTAACCACTGTGCCACTAGGACTGGTGGTGGTTATGTGCCATGGAGTCGGTTCCGACTCATAGCGACCCTGTACAGGGTTTCCAAGGCTGTAAATCTTTACGGGAGCAGAAAGCCTCATCTTTCTCCCGTGGAACCACCTGGTAGTTTTGAACTGCTGACCTTGAGGTTCACAGCCTGATTTGTAACCACTACGCTACCAGAGCTCCTTGCCACGAGGACTAGAAGACAAGAAATGATAGACACCAAAAGTTTAGAGGGACTCCTGTTGTGACATTGTAGATTAAGCACTGGACTGCTAACCACAAGGTCAGTGGTTCAAACCCACTAGCCGCTCCTTGGAAACCCTATACAGGGTCACTATGAGTCAGAACCGCATCCAAGTCACTTAACAACCACAACAAAAGTTTAGAAACAACTTATAGAAAGGTACATGTTGTGGTTGTGAGTGCCATCAAGTCGATTCCAACCCATAACGACCCTGTATAAAGTTTCCACTTGAACCACTCATCTTCTGATTCAAATGACTTTGCAGTCCAGTGTATTAACCCACAGCGCCACACCTGAAAGGTACATAGAGTTGGAAAAATGTGACCTATGGGGTCACATTGCCATTATTGGGGTGTAGGAGGTGCAACATCAGTCCTCAGAGGAAAACATAATTTGAAACCCATAGATCGATTTCTGCTTCTCCATCATTATCCTCATATTCACCATTAGTTGTTTCTCTAGAACTTAGTTTCATTATATATTGTTATTTATCAATTTAGAGTTGATCATTTAAGTTTCCAACAGCATGCTCATCATTTCTTAACCTACAGCATTTATAGTAGGGAACTTGCTTGAATCATGATTTTTCTCTGTGGACAAGTACTAACAAATGGGAGACCTTTATAGTGAAGCCAGAATTAGATTTTTCTCATTCATGAATTTGTTAATAAATCTTTTTTTCCTCTGGACATTGGTTAATTAATCTATGTTATGTTAGGTTGTTAGGAATAACATGTTGAATGCTTGAGAAAACTGCTTTCTGACAATTTAAGACAAGATTGATTAAACCTTCCCTTGACCTTTTGCACCAAAATTGTTGTATTCAGATCCAGAAAATCTTAGTAGGTGTATGAGGAGGCTTCAAAAGGTTCATGAAAAATGGAATGGAATGGAAAGAAAATGTAATTTTTCCATGGGCTTTTTGAAGCCTCCTTGTATTAGTTCAATAGTGTCTTTTTTGTCGGGTATTGTTCATGTGGTGAACAGCAGAAGGAATTTTTCCATTTGCTATTAATGTGTTTTATAAAAGTATCTTAAAGATAAGGTGAGTGAAATAATTTTTTAGAATCATTTAAATGATTTTAAATGTGGTTAATTAATAAAAAATATATAAATGAATTAATACAAAGACTATAAAAATGACATCATTCTATCCAAATACACACGCAATATTATATATTCTTCTTCTTTTTTTTTTTTTTCATAAAAGTGGGATCGTGGCATACTGTTTCATAGCCAGCTTCTTTCATGTAACATATCACAAACTTCTTTCCATGGCAGTAAAGATAGACCTGACCTACATTGTCATTTTCTGTGACTGCATTGTATATTAGTCTATACCACTGTATGATTGTATACCATGATTTCGTTAACTTTTTTAAAAAATGAGAACTACAGTTTTTCTCTTTTTGAAAATTGCTGCAGTTGTCATACACACTATATATATATATATATATATCTGTTTGTAGCAGTAGTTTCTTTTTTAAGACAAATTCTTAGAAGTAAAATCACCAGATAAAAGGATATGTATAACTTGTATATTACTTCTTGGTCATCAAAATTAAAAAATACTTTTTTGACCCACTTTGAAATATGGGGAAATATTCACAAGAAACTGACCCCAGGTATGGCGTTGTAGGAGCAGCATTGGATTGTGAGCCATAAGGTTGGCAGTTCAAATCCACCAACTGCTCCTTGGAAACCCTGTATATGAGTCGCTATTAGTCAGAATCGACTCAATAGCACTTAATAACAACTCACAATAAAAAGAAAATAAAAATATGAGGATATCATTATAACCACCTTTTGCATATAAGCCAGGAGTGGTGGCCTCTTGTACACACATCATCTATTGACGGAACAGACCAGAGTAGGTGGTGGTGTCCTGGCTTTATGGAAGAGGAAATGGAGACGTAGAGGAGTTACCTAATTTCCCCAGGTTTACGTAGCCAGGAAGTGGGAGAATATGGATTCAAACACAGGTTGATTCTAAATCCTGTGGGTTAAAAAAAAAAAAAATTATTTTCTTAACAAAAGAATTACTGGTTACTGTTTGAAATGAAGCAACATAGATAAAGAATAAAAATAACATATATAGGTGCTTCACAAAGCTCATGGAAAAATTCTACTTCTTTTCTTTCTATTTTTCCACAAACTTTTGGAAGTCCTTTTGGATAATCAAGAAAGAGCTACTTTTTAGTGGGGAAGGTAACATCAAACGCAGGCATAACAAGCATAGCACTAGCAAAGTCAATGATGCCATTGAGAGGTGCTCAAGAGAAAAGTGTTATCTGTACTAAAGAATTTGACATATATAAGATCGTGACGACTCCAACAAAGACCAAAAACCAGCGTATGACCCTATCTGGATGGGTGTTGCCATATAGGTATACAGGTAGGTACAGGTGTATGTATATATATGTGAGAACAGATATAAGTATGTTGTTGTTTAGTGCCATTGAGTCACTTCCTACTCATAGCAACCATATAGAGGGTTTTTGAGAGCAGCTAGTGGGTTTGAACTGCCAACCTTACACTTACCAGCCCAGTGCTTATTCTACAGTGCCTGTATGTATAAATATGAATATGTGTATACAGACACATATATTCATTGAAGACACAACTTCTTAATCATAAGTAAATACGTTCCTAGGTTTGAGAGTTTAGGACCATAGTCTTATGGGCCAGCTTAGTCAGTTAGGTCATATACCAAAGTTCATGTTCTGCATCCTAGTCATGCCTGGAGTCTTAAAAACTTGGGAGTGACCAGCTAATATACAGCTATAGGTCTTTACTCAACAGGAGCAAAAGACTAAGGAGATAACCAAAATCTCAGCAAAGAAGTCCACAAGGCCGATAGTCTACACAAGCCATGATTACATCTACCCTGATACCAGAACTCGATGGTACCCAGACTGACCATGGTCACAATAGATGATCCCGGATAGAATGGGAGAAAAATGTAGACCAAAACTCAAAAATTCTTAACAACAAAAAAAGAAAAGACTAGACTGACTGGACCAGTTGAGACCAGAGCCTAAGACTGTTATTCTGAAAAACTCTTTAAACCTTGAACTAAAATGATCCTGAGATCACCTTTTCGTGAAATAGCAGAGTGGCACCCAAAATAAAGGATATGATCTGTAAGAATAATGCTCTACTAAAAAACTATCTGAGACCAAAAGATAAACAATTACTTTAAAATAAAGATGAGAAGATGTGGGACAGGGAAACAAGAGTGCTGGAAATGTAGCAACCAGTACACAAAGAGAATTTTGACACACAGTGAAAATGCAGCTAATGGTACAACAATTTGTATGGAAATTATCAAATGGGAACTTAACTTGCTGTGTAAACTTTCACCAAGAACATAATATAATACTTAAAAAAGCACACACTTTAAAGATAATGGTTTGTGTATGTTTATAATTTTTTTCTTTGTACGTATTATGCCCATTCACATTGAAGAAAACAGGACTGAAAGTGCTGTTTACCTAATTTTTCTAGCCTTTATGAAGTAACAGGACTCCTGGTGTAGGATAAGCACTGGACTTTGAACCACAAGGTGGGTGATTAAAGCC